GATCATAACCATGATCCCCGACACCGAACGTCGGTCGTCGATATTACTGCCCCAATCCACGTCCGTGTATGTCTCGGCCTTCAGCTCACTTGTGCCTCCTTGATAGACGATTCCAATTGCCTTTGTAGTCTTGGGGTAACAAAGAACGGGGTTGGCCGCCTTCCAGTGCTGTTTCCCCATGTTTTCCAAGAACCTTGACAACTGCGTCACCACGTACGCAACGTTGGGGCGTGTACAAGTAGTAATGTGCAGCAGGCACCCGATCAGCGATCAGTACGGCTTCGTCCGCACCTCGTTCCAGCCCGCATTCGTGGTCGGGGATTGATGCTTCGACGGCTTGAGTCCCGACTCGCACGGATTCTCCACAGCCTTGGCGTCTTGCTGATTGAAGCGCTCCACCACGTCGTTAATGTAGCGCGTTTGCGTGATGGTCAGTAAATTCGCTGACCTCTGGTGGTCAATCTTCATTCCCAAGATGAACTTATCCTCGCCCAGCTCCTTCATCTAAAAACCTTCTTGAGTCTCATCTTGACGTCCTGGATTTCCTTGCTCGTCTTCGCCGCGATGAAAATGTCGTCGACGTAAAGACATACGTGCACATGTAGCCCCCGGCGTCTTCATTGCCATACGACACCTCCATGTGCACGCGTTCCCTGAGGTCGCTGTTGAGGAATGCCGTGTCCACATCCAACTGCTCTGTCACGTACTTCTCCTTCATTGTAACCGCCAATACCACACGAATCGAGTTCATGTTGGCCACCAGTGAGTAGGTTTTGAAGAAGTCTACGCCAAACGTCTGCCTGAAATCCTTCGCCACGAGCCGAGCCTTGTACCGAACCACTTTCCCATGCTCGTTCCGCTTCTTGGCAAACGCCCATCTGCTCTCAATAGGTCGTATATTCGCCGACCTCGGTACCAGTGTCCATGATCCATTCCGTTCATGCGCTCGCAGATCTACCTTCATCGCCTTCACCCACTCCGCCGCATCGTCACCATCCATGGCTTGCTGATACGTCGTAAATGCATCGTCAGCTTTGCCGACACTAGCAGCATACACCAGCACTGCCTCAGCGAGCAGTCCGTCTTCATCAATGCGCGATCGCTTAGGCGATGTTGGCCAGAAGTGGTCGTTGTTGTCAGGATCACTGTCGGTCCCATGGTGCTCGTCGTTGTTCGTCGATTCCACAATCACCGATTCGTAATTCGCGAAGCCATCGTTCAGCAGTAGCATCGGTGTCTCTGCTCGGCGAACACACTCCGTCCTCGGGTGAAACACCATGCTGTCACCGGTCGTCAGCCCTAAAGATCTTCTGTACGTCGTCAGCTCTCTACTCGACGATGTCGGCTCTGGTTCAACTTTCTGCATTTATACGTCATCACCGCCGAGTTCTTCCTCAGCAGGCGGCATTGGTTCGTCGACGGTAGGTTGCACCTGTGGCTGCACGTCTTCATGCTGCACTAAATCGTCGACCTTCGTGGTCACATGGACGATTATCGACTGGTTCGGTACAGCCGTATCGTAGATACCGTTGACCTCCCGTTCATCCAGTCTAGTGAACGTGACACTTTGAGCCTGTTCCACTCCAAGTTGTACACCCTGTACCCCTTGACGTTCTCAGCGTACCCCAAAACATACACTTGAAGCTCTTTGCATCCAGCTTCGTACGTTTGCCGTCTTTCGCATGAGCATACCCGGTAGAGCCGAACACGCGCAAAAGCTCCATGCGCGGCTTCATCTTGATGCACAGCTCATACGGTGTCATGCTCGTGTGAACACTGTTCGTGGTCCTGTTGATCGAGTACACCACTGTATTCACCGCCTCGGGTGGAGAGTGCTGCCATCATTACGACACAGAAGATGACATGTTCTTGGGTTACGCAGCAGTCTGTCGAGAAAAAATCATCTTCGTTAAAATTGCCCGCACGTCACATAATGCTGCGTAGCACGACAGCCCATCTTGTGGCTAGTCAAGGATGTTACCAGTGTTTTGCTGTACGCCGTGGTTGGGCAATTCAATGAATTTATGCCCCTGTCTACACTGGCATTGTATCTCGCTGGCAGTTTGAAGCAGTCGCTGAGTTAGTTATCTGTGTTTCTCATGATTGATACATGAGCAGCTCGGGCTAATTTAGCACATGTATGAGCAACTGAAACACAAAACAGGCATGAATATGCTGCTTGTGGTCTTTGCCTTGGCAGGGATGATGACACCGGCGTTCTTGAAATCAGATAGCAATTTGGCCTTTCCGGAGACGCTGCCTGTAGTAATTTCGTTAGTTTGATTGCTGACCTAGCTTCTTCTTATACTAAATTTCTGTCACCAGCCTAAGATAGAGATAAATGGGTTCTCAAGCAAAAACAGACGTAGGAACGAATCTTATCAAAATATGCCTTTACACATAGAGCTTAATCAAGATCAATGTCACTCTGCCTTTTTCGCTCAAGACATCAAGAATCACCTCCGACCGCTGCATTACCGGCACTATTTTGATAGATTTGTCTGGACAACAGCACAAAGCGACAAATCTGAAAAGATAAGATTGTAACGTCTGGACCCATCTCCATCTTCAGCTGTTCTGCAAAAATTAAAATTCTTGTCAAAAGGCCGCTCGTACTCATATATTTTCGCAAAATTACAGCTCGTGCCCGAGCACCGGCTCTAATAGGCTGGATCCTAGACTCACACCTGACTGTGTGACAATCTCAGGCAATGAAAACCCTGCAAGTCCAAATAGTAGCTGTGTTATCTTCTCTTGTGCTTAACTTGCTGCTCGCCATTAACCAGCATGTCGTGGGATTCTTCCTCGACAACAGTAGATACCGTTGGACTCATAACCTGTAGGAGTTCAAAAATTTGGGTCGTGATAGCTTTGCTACCAGAATCAACCGTTTTTTTCATACACGCGGTATCTAGCATAAGTGTAAGCAACACCATCTTGTTACGCCAGCCCTTTTCCCTAATTTTTATAACGCTGTAGCCATATCACACCCGTCATTTTCTGCTCATCGCATCGGCTTGCTAGTTTAGCTCACGCTGTCCGGGACAAGTTGGTCTGACAATCCACTTCTATTTAGTTGTAAAGTGTCTCATGCAGTACGAAGCTGAAAACTCTCAAGTGGGTATGGCATCGATAATGCAGCTATCATCCAGCCAAACCCATGTTTGTGTATGAGCTTACAATTGTACTTCGGATCTATAGACCAGCGCTTGCTTTACAACCATAGTCTTACATACAAATTTAATGACTCCAATCAAATCATTGTTCCTTACTTTCTGATAACTCAACTGATCTATTGTAAGTACCTATATCACGTATAGAATACATTGAAAGGGCAAGCGACCCAGTATGAGGTCACCAGTCGGCATAGCGTATGCCGAACATATACAATTAACCAGATATACAGGTTGTGAAACGTTGCTTTAAATATGAAGACATCAAAAGCTCTACACCCAGGGATATACCGCGGCATTACGTGTTATCGTAAGTATACTGGGAAAAGGTGGACGAGAGCTGAAATAATTGGACACTCAGTACAGTAAGCTACACAATGGGCCCATTCAGGACAAAAGACATCATCATCGGCTTACTTGTTAGCTCCTACCATGGGTTATATGCTCTGTAAGACGGCTCCAAGTTTAGTCTTCGGGAGATGTCAATTTCGACATGCAAAGAAAAAATGCCACCAGGATGGCAGAGCGCTTTCTCAAGCAGCAGGTCAAAAAATGCTGGGAAAACCCGCCTGCTCTATAACTCGCAATATAGCGCTCGCTGCACAGATTTCTTTTCAAGGCAATCGTAGCAAAATGGATGAAATTTGCCTCAGTGAAAAAACTTGAAATATGCTGGATGAAACACTATATACCTAATGACAGTGTCTGACACAATTAGGGCCGCGGACAACTTAAAAAAGTGTTGAAGTGGCGCCACGTAATGAAAGATGGACGAGCCAAGGACTCATCGATTGATGACGTGAAGGTGATCAATGGTCTGGAGAGCGCGTGAGGCCGCGCATGAGCTCGGCGAAGATAGGGAACTGACTCGACAAATGATGACTGGGATCGGCGTCTCACGTATGGAAAGATCCGATTGGGAGATAATGGAGTGAGTGCTGGATGTGATTGGATCATATTCAAAACTCCCCTCGCGGCGACCATTCATCTTGTCGGGGCGTCGCAGGGAGAAGCTCGAGGGCGGCTGCTGCAGGGGCACAGGGAACAAGAAGGGCAAGAAGGGTGCACAAGAAGGTAGTTTCGGACATGTAGGAAGGGTAGATTGTGTAGCTGCTAACTAATTCACTTCGGCATTTGGCCTCCAATACTCAACAGAATAACAGCCGCACAAGACTCTCAAGCCACTAGACGCCGCCTCGATGTCGACGAAGAAGGCTGAAGTCCTACTGGGAAGCGACAACTACTTTCACAGGGATTTCGCCATGCGCATGACGCTGACGAGGAAGGGACTGCTGGCTCATGTGCAGACGGTGAAGCCGGAAGTAGAGATGACGGAGGCGTAGCTGCTAAACGACATGAAGGCGCTCGGTTCGATCGCCCAAGGCGTGTCGTTGGAGCACCAGACGAAGATTCGCTCGGTGACCTCGGCGATTCAAGCGTGGGGGACTCTGCGGGAGTTCTACAACCGGAACACGATGCACAATCGTGTGATGATGACTCACCGACTCCATGAGTTCAAGATAGAGAAAGGGGCGACGATGGCGAAGCACCTCGACAAATTCGACGAGCTCGTCGAGCTCGTCGTGGGTCTCCAATCGCTCGGCGAACCACTGGACGATGCCCGTCAGTTGGTTATATTGCTGAGCCGCCTGCTCAGCGAGTTCGAGCTGATCTCGTCAATCATCGAGAACATTAAGGACGTCACGCTGATCGAGGTGAAAAAGAAGTTGCTGAAGGAGTACGAGCGACTGGAAAAGAAGAAAACGTCGGAGCGTGCGTTGAAGGTCACCTCGGATGATGGCAGGGGCAAGAACGGCAAGTCTGGCAAACGCGGCAGAAACAACGACCGCAAGGGCAACGGCGCGAAGAATAATGGCGGGCTCCAATACAAGTGTTTTAGTTGTGACCAGGTCGGACACATGAAGCGGGACTGCCCGAACAAGGTCGACGGCAGTGACGATGGGGCAGTGTTCGCGGTCAGCGAATTAAGTCCGGTGAATGGGTCAGTAGACTCAGTGATCACCAGTGCATGGCTGATACTGCACTCGCTATTGGCAAGGATCGATTGCCGAGCTGGCTGATCGACAGTGGTACGACGTCGCACATGACGCCGTACCGGGACGACCTCTTCGAGGATGAGGTCGTGAACACGAACATCGAGGTGATCATCGCTGATGGTAAGTAAGCTGCGCGTAGCGGGAACCGGGTCGGTGCGCTCTAAGGGCATCGACGGCAAGCGCATCCGGATGACGGAGGTACTCCATATTCCTGGCCTCGATCGCCGACTGCCGTCGGCGGGGAAAAAAGTTGGCAGGACGCAGGTCGAGCGTCGAGTTCCAGCGGAATTTGTGTGTTATCTGGGGCAAGTCGAGTGCGATTGCCTCGAGG